CCTGTATATACGATAAATGGTATTTCCTCTGTTCTACTATGAAGAACCGAGGCTCTGAGAGACTGATTAACTTGGAAATGGCAGAACCGGTATTTGAACACTGACATGTCTGAGGAACCCTCATTCTACCTCGCTGTGATCTCTCTAAAAAACCAAATTAGCAGGCCCAGAGACACTGAGGTAAAAGAGGTGCTTTTTTTATTAGTTAGATAATAAAACTATTGTTTTTTAAAAAATTTCCTCAGAGTTAAGCACAGTGAAATGAATACTGTTGACAAGCCATTAATAAAGATGACAGAGTAAAGGGTGATGATAGAGTATAGGGATGATGTGTATTTCACGTATTTCCTTGATGATACCCTTGTCTCCCTGTGATGCTGACAAAGCCAACATACAACCTAGTAGCAATCGGCTGAGGTGAAACATTATTAAATTCAAACTAAAAAAATATCAGTTCATCAATTCATAGTTTCTTGGAGAACATAGAGGAAATGAAGTCTAAACATTTTTGTTGAGGGAAAAAATGCAAAATTACTGTGCAAAGCCTTTAATACATTTACTTCTTGCTATATATTGATAAGGGACTATTTGAATAATAGTAGATATTATAATTGATATTGTGGAATTATAGTGGATATTGCAATATTATGTAGCTATTAAAAAGAATGGTACAGATACACACAGTCACTCTCCAAGAACTATCATTAAGAGAAACTAAAAAAAGGTGCAGAATAGTGTTTATGGTTAGTGTGCTGGTATTAGCCTTTGTATGAAAACAGAAGGGGGACTCTATATACTTGTTATTTGCCCAGTCTGTGAAAGTTTGTTTTTTTAATGTCCTTCTGTGTTGTTGAATTTTTAAAAACCCATGTGGACATTACCTTTTTAAAAAAAATTGTGGTGAAAAACATACAACATAAAATTTACTATCTTAACTTTTTTTTTTTTTTTTGAGACAGAGTCTCGCTCTGCTGCCCTAGAGTGCAGTGACATCATCATAGCTCACTGCTACCTCAAACTCCTGGGCTCCAGTGATCCTCCTGCCTCAGCCTCATGAGTAGCTGTGACTATAGGCGAGTGCCACCATGCCCGGCTAATTTTTTTCTATTTTTAGTAGAGATGGGGTCTTGTTCTTGCTCAAACTGGTCTTGAACTCCTGAGCTCAAGCAGTCCTCTTACCTCGGCTTCCCAGAGTACTAGGATTATAGGTATGAGCCACTGCACCTGGCCCATCTTAACCATTTTTAAGTCTACATTTTGGTAGTCTTAGGTATATTCACATTTTTGTGCAACAGATCTCTAAAACTTTTTCATCTTGCAGAACTGAAACTTTATACCCGTTACACAACAACTCTCCTTCCCCTACCCCTCAACCTCCCTCTGGTAACCACCATTCTACTTTCTGTTTCTGTGAATTTGATTACTTTAGATATCTTATATAAGTGGAGTCATATAGTATGTCTTTTGGTGATGGGCTTATTTCACTTAACATAATGTTCTTACAATTTATCCATGTGGTAGCATGTGATAGGATTTCTTTCCTTTTTAAGGCAGGATAATATTCCATTTTATGGTACGTGGCATGATTTGTTTACCCATTTATCCATTGATATATTGATTTTTATAAATGTTTTCTTTTTTTTTTTTTTTGAGACAGAGTCTCACTATGTTGCCCGGGCTAGAGTGCTGTGGCGTCATCCTAGCTCACAGCAACCTCAAACTCCTGGGCTCAAGCAATCCTTCTGCCTCAGCCTCCCGAGTAGCTGGGACTACAGGCATGCGCCACCATGCCCGGCTAATTTTTTCTATGTATTTTTAGTTGTCCGATTAATTTCTTTCTATTTTTGGTAGAGACGGGGTCTTGCTCTTGCTCAGGCTGGTTTTGAACTCCTGAGCTCAAACAATCCTCCCACTTCGGCCTCCCAGAGTGCTAGGATTACAGGCGTGAGCCACCACGCCCGGCTATAAATGTTTTCTTTAAAGTACTTTGCTTCACCCTGTAAATGTGATCCTGGAAATTCGGACGTAAACATTGTGTGCGCGCATGTATATATGTGTGTATATATGACAGCAGGGCTGGGGATTGAAGGGTGGTTAAATTATATCTTCATTAACTTTACAGCAAAGAGGAAACTCTTTTTTATCTTGTGAATGATCCCCAACTTTATGTCTTAGACTTTTGTATTGGAGATTTTTCTTGGAATGAAACGCATCTCTGCACCAAGAGTGGAACAAAAAAAGGAGATTTGGTTGTATTTGAAATTGATGAAGATACCTTTGTAGGCCAGGATACCCCACCATTTGTCTTAAGTTTACCCACTCTTCCATTTGTTTTGCTAGCATCTTTGCCCTCCTGTTCCATGACTAGAAATCTCAGAGCCCTCTTTTTATAACATGTTTCCTATGTGTTGGTTTTGTTTTCTCAAATCGAGTAAATTCTTGAAGACAGGAGGAATCTCTTATTATATCCTACAGTGACGAGCACAATAAGAGTAGCTCAATAAATACATATTAAGCAAAGACGAGAGAGGTGGAGGGAGAGAGAAAAGTAGGTTCCTCTGTTAAAGAAGTAATCCCTTTTGGTTTTTCTCTACCTCATCTTGTACCCTTCACCAGTGGAGAATTTCTTCCACTTATAGACTAAGTGTGCTGGGGACTTGGGATGTGTGTGTTGTTTTATATTCTCTGTTGAAAGCCCAGGTAAGAGAGCAGAAGCCGGACTGTGCCCTTAAGACTGGCCTGATGGTATGTAGAGAGACATCTATGTCACACCTTGAGAAGAATCTTGGATTACTATCCTCTTCCTAATATCAAGCCTGGGTATTTCATGGTCAGCAGGGTGGCTGGACTTGAATATGCCTTAGGCTTCTTAAATTCAATAGCACATAGTAGGAATGTTTGATAAAAGTGATTTTGCCATTTTTGGTGATAATATGTGAAAGCACTTAACACAGAGCCTAGCATATGGTTGGTGTACAAGAGGTGACAGTATATGAATCTTTCCTGAAGCCTCCTGCCTCCACTCATGTGCCTCCACTTCCCACTGCCAGACTAAAGATACGGGGGACAACAATATGGATTTTACCTTTGGTAAGTTGCCAACTCCTTGTTTGTGGCTTTATGCTCAGGCAAGAAGTATAATCTGCTTCCACATATCTAAGAGCAGATATATCTGAACCCTGTCTGCCAGGTTACTCATAATTTCACCCCAGACCGAAAGTATTCCAAACTAGCATTTTTTGGCCACCCTAGGCAGCTTTTGGTAGGGATCTAGTCTTGAGAATCTTAGTGGGGAAATTCGTAATTCTAGGGTAGCTGGGCAAGGCAGTGGGTGTCAGGGCTTGAGCGTGAGTTAACTTAGCTGTGCTAGCTCGTGGGTATAGGCATGGAGGAGAGGACAGGGTAGGGGACAAAAAGGGCTTGGGTCTGTCATTTCTGTTCATAGGAAGATGCGGTCACTTGTGTGTAAGGAGTAGAGCTCTGGCCTGCTGTCGTCTGTCACCTCCCTGTGATGAGTCAGTTTTGCTCCCAGTTGTCCCTCCAAGGCATCTTAGGTTTAGTAGGGGATGAAATAGGGAACCTGAGTCAGGTAGCCTTGCATCCTACCCTGCAGATCTGCAGGGAGAAGTTGTGCCTCCCAGGACCTGTTTCCCACGAGCTGAAGTAAGAGGAATCCTATCCAGGTCCTGTGAGGGTTTTTTTCTATCTTTCTTATGTCCCCTTTTCACCTGGATTCTGGGAAGAGGAGAGAAAAGGTGAGGGAGGATGGGGGAAGTTAAAGAACTTGAGGGGATGTATGGGTTTGCTGTCCTTAAATTCTTTTTGGAACAAAGTGTAGGTGTTGGGAGGAGGATGTGTGAGTGGGTGGGAGAACAAACACTGCTGGCACTCAGCCTGGACCCTTACTTGGTATTATTGATCTTTTTATGTGTTGTTCTCCTCTCCTAGTTAGAGTATAAGCATGTGCATATGTGTAATTTTATGTATCAATGGAATCGTACCTTACTATTGTTTTTTTTCCTTAACATTATTTTATGCTCTTTTTTTATTTGATTGTTGGAGACATTTTCATGTCAGTAAACAGAATAAATGGCCAAGTTATATTTCAATGAGTAGATATAATGCATTTTATTCCCTGATATTTAATCCGTTTATCTCATCTGTTATCAATGGGGCCTTCTCTGACCCCCTCACTTAAAATCCTAACAATCTCTCTTTCTTCCCTATCTCCTTTCTTTCCTATATTTTTCTCTGTAGCATTTAGTACTACATTGCATACTTTTTAAATTTATTTACTTATTGCCTAACTCTATTAGAATGTAAGCTCCATGAACACAGGGATTTTTTTTTCCTTGAGACAAGCTGGAGTGCAGAGAGATTCTAGCTCACTGCAGCCTCGAACTCCTAGGCTCAAGTGATCTTCCTGCCTCAGTCTCCCGACTAGCTAGGACAACAGGTGTTTGCCACCACGCCCAGCTAATTTTTCTTATTTTTTGTAGAGATGGGGTTTTGCTATGTTGCTGGTCTTGAATTCTTGGCCTCAAGCAATTCTCCTGCCTTGGCCTCCCAAAATTCTGGGATTATGGGTGTGAGCCACTGCCTGGCCTTTTTCTTCTTTTTTATCCACTGCTCTATACCTGATGTTTAGAACAGTTCCTGGTACTTAGTTGATGCTCAGTAAATATTTGTTTAGTGAATGAATTTGTTGGACTTTGGTATACCTATTGGGTTTTTAATTTGCAGTTATTTGGCTCTTATGAAAATTCTATGATAAATGTCCTGATATATACATCTTTGCACACTTGTCCACTATCTCCTTAGGATAAATTCTAAGAAACAGAACAGCTAAGTTAAAGGGTATGCGTGTTTAAAATGCCAATTCATGGAGCCAAACTACCCTTAAGAATGTAATCATCTACTAATAGCACATGAGATTGCCTGTTTCCCCATGCTTTTAATAACATTAGGCCTTGTGTGTTTTCATCTTTCCCATCTGACAGGTCAGACATGGTCTTGTAACACGGTGGTTGAGAATGTGACTTTGGAGCTAGCTCGCTCGGGCCTGAATTCTGACTCAGCCATTCATTAACTGTGGGACCTTGGGTAAGTCATTTATCTTCTCTGTCCTTCAGTTTCATCTTTCGTAAAGTTGACATAATGATAGCACCTATTTTATGGGGTTATTTTGAGGAATGAATTAGTTAATCCAAGTAAAATGCTTAGAATAGTAATTGAGATATATTAATAAATATGATTTAGTTTGCATTTCTTAGAATATTAAAGGTCGAACATTTTTTCAAATGTATTTTGGACATTTGTATTTTTTATTTGAATCACTTATTCATGTACTTTGTACATTCTTCCAATAATATTTTCTTATTAAATTGTAAGAGTTAACATGTTGACTATCATATATAATGCAGAATTGTCCCTAGTTTGCCCTTTATCTTTCAACTTTGTTTATGTAGTTTTTTTCTGTCTGCACATTTTACATTTTTAGGTATTCAAATTTTCCCTTATAGTTTCTTCTGCTACTAGACCAATGTTTAGGAAAAGCATGCTTCCCCACCTCAAAATTACAAAAATAGTGACTTGTTCTTTTTGAGTACTCTGTGTATATGTGTGTTTAAATCTTTTAATTCAACCTATAAATTTAAATCTTTGATCCATCTGGAATTTATTTTGATAGGTTTGAGAATGGTTGGGATCTGACTCTATTTTGTTTGTTGGGTAGCTATCCCAAACCCATTTATTGAAGAAGGAGGAGCAAGAGCAGGAACCTTTAATCTATCCTTCCCTTCCCTAATCTGAAAGTGGCTTATTTTTTTGAATATCACATCCTCAGAAATAGCAAATCCTCCATTTCAGAAAATGGATTTCATGTTTAGATGCAGCCAAAACTCATTCAGTTGCTAAACTATGAGATGAATATGCCATGTAAAGCAGTTTGGGATCAGAACTCACAGTCTGACTCTGAAGTGATGAGACTTCTGTCTCTCTGGTGCAGCTTCTTGGCTGACCTGCCAGTGACGATGAAGGGTAGCTAACCTTCTCATAGCACACATTATGTGCCAGGCATGGTCCTAAGCACCTTACATAATATAAACTTCTCCCTATGAGGTTGGTGCTCAGTACTGGGTCGAATAGTATCCTCCAAAATTCATGTCCCCCCAGAACCTATGAATGTGATCTTATGTAGAAATAGGGTCTTTGCAGATGTAATCAAGTTAAGATGAAGTTCTACTGGTTAGTCCTACTCCATTGACTAGTATACTTATGAGGAAAAAGAGGGCTGGGCGTGGTAGCTCATGTGTATAATCCCAGGACTTTGGGAGGCCAAGGCAGGAGGATTGCTTGAGGCCAGGAGTTTACGATCAGGCTGGGCAACATAGGGAGACCTTGTCTTTGCAAAAAAAAAAAATCAGCTGGACGTGGTGGCATACACCTGTAGTCCCAGCTACCCGGAAGGCTGAGGCAGGAGGATTGCTTGAGCCCAGGAGTTCGAGGTTGCTGTGGGCTATGATCGCACTACTGCACTCTAGCCTGGGTGACAGAGCGAGACCCTAAAGGAAGAGAGAAACATGACACAGAGGGAAGATGGCCATGTGAAGATGGAGGCAGAGATTGGAGTTAGGCTTCCATAAATTAAGGATTGGCTCTGGCACTCCAAGGATTGCCAGCAACCACCAGAAACTACAAGAGGCAAGGAAGGATTCTTCCCTAGAGCCTTCAGAGGGAGCATGGCCCTGATGATACCTTGATTTCAGACTTGTAGCTTCCAGAACTATTAAGAGAATAAATTTCTGTTATTTTAAGCTACCCAGTTTGTGGTAATTTGTTATGGTAACCCTAGGAAAGTAATACACACTCTTATCATCATCTTCATTTTCAGATAAAAGAAAGAAAGGCCTGAGAGGTCAAATACTTTGAGGTCTCTGTAGGCTACTGCTGTGCCAGCTGTGCTGTCACTCTGTAGCTCCTGCTGTTGCTGCTGTTGGCTCTTCACCTTCACCACGACCATCAGTTTTTGGCAGTGCTGGACTGAGCTGCTAGAATGGCTCCTTTCTCTACCACACAAGGCCACAGCCTTTCCCCTATCCTTGCCCTCATCATGCTGCAAAGCAGAAACTCGTCTCAGGAGGCTTTTGGCTAGAGCCTGACCATTTCACTAGGTATCTTCTCCAGCTCTCCTCCCCACACCCCTCCCCTTTATTTTTCCTTTCCTACTCCTTTATTTTTGTTTTCCATGCAATGTCAGAGAAGTACGGTGACAAGGTAGGGGGAGGATCACCCAGCTTCTTCTGGCAGTTGTTTTTATGCTTCCCAATTTTGGCCTGCTGTACCTTCTAGAATTCCTGTTAGTAGACAATTCAAGTCTTGTGTTTTTCTTTGGAACTTCAGCCTCTTGTACATAGCTTAGAGTTCATGGCTGTGAGCAGAGAAGGGGCAGCTTCATGGCAGCACTGGCTATGAGGGTACTAGTCATCATGTTATTGATGAACTCTACCCACCACAGTGGCTCTCTCTCTGCCAAAGGGGGTGAGGGGTTAAGGGCATTATCTGAACCATTAATATCTCCATGAATAGCCTCTTGCCTCCCCATAGGCCCTTCTGCTGGCATCCCATTGCTGGCTGTGGAATCTTGCCTATTTTCCAATATAGACCTTTGGCTTTGGATCTTGCTCTTTTTCTCAGCCACTCTCGTTAGACTGTGAGCTCCAGGAACATAGAAACCACTTATGTTTTGTTTGTTGCTATATCCTAGGACAGAACAAAAATCCTGGCACTTACCCTTCAAGAAATGTTTGTTGAGTGAAAAAATGAATATTGACTTTGAAGCTTCAGACTCTTAGTTTTCCTTGCTTCTTCTAGAAGCCAAGGGCCAGATTAGGAATTTAACAGTCCTAAGCAATGGGAAGATTATGATGTCCCTCATACTTTCAGCCCTCAGTATGTATTTTAAAAAACAGTATGAAATGCAAAGTAAGTATAAGGAAGTACATCAAAGTATAAAGAAAATTCAGAAAAATTCTAATTGTTACCGTGGTGACTACTTTGATAAATACAAAGTTATTTAAAATTGTTGTTGTTGTTGTTGTCCATGCTTTGCCAGTTCTGTAAGCACATGCTGTTGAGTAATCCTGCCTGGACCAGTCCTTCCTGTACACTAGACTTTGCCTTCAGTTCCTCTTTATTCCACCTGCTGAAGCTGCCAGCCAGCCTTTTCCACCCCAAACCCCTGGGGTGTCTGGGTCCTCAGACCTCGGCCTGGGCTAGTGCCCCTGGCTCCCTGGGGGCTTGCCAGGAAAGTCCAGTAGAACATCACAGTGTTAAAGAGTACCTAATAATGAGAACTCCCATGCTGAATTGTGATTTACACTCAGCATAGCAAATTGTGCCAGGTGATTACATCTAGGCTGATTTTAGCCATAATAATCTGCTTCTATGATCCTGTATATGGAAAGCCTAGAAATTTCTCTCTTGTCCTCCTTACTGGATCACTGAGAGACAAGTCAAGACGCAGGACCATTCTGCAGCGTATATTAATCTGGGCTTTGTTGGGACCGTTCAGAGAAGAAAGATGTGATGCTGGAAGTGGGGCCCAGGCCTTCCACAGACTGTTCCAAGACTATGACCATAGTTAAATCCTGTTGCTTGATTCCAAAGAGTTTAAAATAGTGTTGGAAACCTCCTAGGAAAAAAGCAGCACCGTAACTTCCTGCGTAAGGAAGTAGCATGTGCTGACTAGAGCAGGAGGGGTGGCCAAGGCTCTCAAGTTCTATTCTGGACCCGTTGTTGATTTGAGGTGTGACATTCAGCAATCTGAGCTGATGTTCTGCAGCTCTGATTGATTTCTCATCTTCAGCACAGAGAATAATAGAGGCTGTGCTTACAGGGAAAGAGGCAGGCGCTCTGGTCGCTTATCCTTTAGGAGAGGCTCTCTATTAAACATCTTTCCTGTCATTTGAATTTCCAGGCTCCTTTTTCAAATGCAGGACCCCCCCCCCCACCGAGTTAATATAGGAACACAGCAATATTGTTTACATTTTACTTGACTTCATTTGATCAGAATTTCTTTCCTTTTGACAGTGTTATTAGATCATCTCTTACAGGGGATGGGAACTTTGCCAGGGTTTAGGAAAGGAAAGGAAGATTTGTGCGGGGCACATACCTTGGCTTTGGTAGCTTGAGGGTACCAGGTGCATGATGATATAGATGGGGAAGAACAGAATGTCACATCCTTTGAGAGCCAGCCATATATTAGATGCATTTCATATATTTTCTTATTTAATTATAATATAAGCCAATAAGGTGTCATCTCCATTTTTGCACACAGGCAAGCTGAAAGTCAAAGAGGTTATGTAACTTGCCCAAGGTCACACAGCTAATAAAAGGCCAAGCTAGGATTTATTTCTCCTCAGGTCTGTCCAATGCCAAAGCCCACGCTGTTTTCACAGAGCTTTTCTGTCTCTGGTGAGATTTAGGAAAGGAGGGAGGGGGAAAGAAGAGTGGAGAGGATGCCATCTTTCTCTACCTTACAGTTTTGCTTGTTGTGACATGTTTAGCCAGAGCATTTTGTTTATAGAATACTAGATTCTATATATAGAGATGCTGCAACAACATATGTGGGAAAGATACCAATTGGCTGTAGGGGAGGATTAAAAAAACCCTTCGTTCTTTACTTCTAGGTCTTCATTGCAATGTAGGCCACAGTGTCAAAACACTACTAGTAATTGATTTACCGCTTAAGTGGCTCTATCCTATCTTAAAATCTGTTGATGTGGCTGAAGAAGTAAGTGTGATAGGGGCAGAGGTAAGGGTGTGGTATGTCCTCACTGCATATACTGGAACTGGTGGCACCTGTTGTGTGACTATTAGAGTGAATTAGTACTGAGTAAACAAGAGGTGTCTCTCTTTTGCCTTTCCAAGGGAGACCAGATGGCAGTGGGTGCTGGCACAGATCCAGGGATCCTGGCCTAGCAGAGGAGACAACTTGAAGGTATCAGGTGATGGAATAAGCTGGTCTGTCAAGTGATATAATTTCACAGGCACCAGCAATGTGTCCTGTCCCTCAAAGACTTGCACTGGCTGTTTGCTATTGCTCGGAATTCCACAACTGAAATTTCTGTCCTTCACTTTAAACCTTTGAGACCCTATTAAAAATGAAGAGATTGTAGGAAGGGTTGATGGTGAAGCATCTTGGTGATGGAAGTGGAAGTAGAAGTGAGTTGATGAGATTGATTTCTGAGAACTTGACTGAGGAAGGGATAGAGAGGAGAGGGCACTGTGCTCTAATTATAGGGACAGGAGGGAGATACCAAGGAGTTTGAGATAAAGGCCCTAGAAAGAGAAGCTGGGTCCCTAAAGAAGCACTTTGTTTCCTTCACAGTTTCGTCTGAGAAAAGACAAGCAGCTGAGGGTGCTGGGTATGGAGGCTCTTGACCTCAAAAAGAGGGGGTGCTGAGTAGACAGATTTCCCACCAGCATGTTGGGATGCAGGCACAGTGTTGTCTGGAGAGCAGCTGATGGCTAGAATATAACCAGGAGCACAAGACCTTTGTACCTGTGGTTTGCTGTGATGTCCTTAGACAAGACGGTCACAGATCTTAGAAAGGGGGAGGCTCAGCTTCCCAGAAATGATGCAAAATGATGGCGCAAAAGAGGCCGCCAGTGATGACAAAGGCAGAGCATTTCCTCAGTTGCTGCTGGTCACAGACAGCTTCTGGCCTCCATTTCCCAATGAGCTATGCTAAGATAGGGCCTAACCGGAAAGCAAAATAAGCCATGTCAAAAGCAATGACAAAGCATTTGGGGTGTCCATACAAAGGTGTAGTTCCCCCTTGTCTGCTAACTTTGTGGAGCCAAAATAGCTGCTCCAGAAGCTGCCAGGATAGCCCCTGTGATTCAGACATACAATGTTTTTGGCCTGAGTGCCTGTAAGAAGAGCACCTTCCTGGTTAACTTGGCATCAGCTTTCATTCACCAGTGCTTTCAGACTGCCTTTATGATTTGAATTCTCACAGCTTTTCCTCCCCCAGGGAGTCTTTGACACAGGCAACTCAAATCTCAGGGCCTTTCCCAGCTCCTCACAGTTGGGTTCGTGGATGCCTTTCACCCTCAGGCGTAATCTACTCTGTCCAGTCCCTAACCTAAGTTCAGAGCATTTTCTTTTGGATCCAGACTTTTGGCTTCGCTCAGGCCTCTTTTTTTTTTTTTTTTCCCCCAGACGGATTCTTCCTCTGTTGCTGGGCTAGAGTTCCGTGGCATCAGCCTAGCTCACAGCAACCTCAAACTCCTGGGCTCAAGTGATCCTCCTGCCTCAACCTCCTGAGCAGCTGGGACTACAGGTGTGTGTCACTACACCCAGCTAATTTTTTATATTTTTAGCATCCCATTCTTGCTCACACTGGTGTTCCACTCCTGATCTCAAGCAATCCTCCTGCCTTGGCCTCCCAAAACACTAAGATTACAGGCTTGAGCCACCGCGCCCAGCCATACACTCAGGCCTCTTGAGTTCTAGCTCATTTCTTCAGGCACCTTTCCTTAGAGGGCTGTCCTAGGAATGACATTCATCCCCTACCCCTCAAAGTGTGACAGGGTCTGAACCTCCTGCCTTAATGGAATCAATACGGCTTTGTGGAGGTTTTTGGACATACCATACCTCTTCCTCTCCTCCCAATCCCCACAACCTCATACACAAAATCTAGTGATGAAGCTGAATCTGCTGATAACCAGGATTTTGGAGCCAGTGCCTCCAGCAGCAGGGGACTCCTGGACATGTGTTCTATGCCCTGAATGACTGCTCTCTGCCTACTTAGTCTCTCCTTTCCCTCCATCTCACCTTTATTTTGGCTTTTACCTAGGAGGAGTATCAGGCTTTTTCCAGTTGCCCTGCCTGGACTCCCTAACCTCATCCAGGACCACAGCCCTGCTGTCAATCCCTCACCAGAGACTGTGGCCTTTGCTTTCCAGCCTTTCCCTGGCCAGGTTGCTTCTTTGATACTAGAGCCTTTCCTTGCATCTAGGCTTCAGTAAGTAGAATCCTGCCTGTGCACAGATCTCTGTGTGTTGACCACCTTGATCTCTACCTAGTATCCCTTGGGCTAATTAGATGTCATGCTGGTCTGTCCTGCTGCCTTCTTGAACAGTGCTCTTAGCTTAGTTGGGCCCTTGTCCTGGATTTCATGCTAATTCTCCAACTGCCTCTACCTCAAAAGGAGCTTTTAATATGCATTGTGAAACTCCAGAAGGAAGATAGAGAATATAACATTTTCTAAGCTTTTTTAACTGGAGAACCATTTTTTTCTGGAAGAATATTTATTAAAATCTCATGGAATGTGGTATTTTGTGGAACACAGTTTTGGGAAGTGTGAAATTTTATCCCAAAGGAATGGACACCAAATGGAGTAGTTCCAGGCAAAGGTAATGTGGCAATCAATGAAAGAAATTCTTTGGGGAACAGGAAATCTTTTGTGGTACTCTTCATGCAGCAAAATGCCCACTGAGCACCTACTATTTACCAGTCTCTCTGCTGGAATCATGCCACATATTTCACTACTGTGTCTCCATGTAAGACCAGCTCTGATCTGGAGTGGACCTCTAAAGTGGGGAGGATTCTGTATTCTTTCTTCCACTTTGGATCCTCTTCCCCTTTCTTCCAACTGAAACAAGAAATGGTGAAAGGGGTGATGCCATCATGGCCATAGACATTATCAGCTCCTGGATGCAAGAAAGGGGTGTTTATCCGAGGCTCTTTTCCCCAGGTTTGACCTCTGTCAGAATTGCTCTAGAGCACTGCTGAACACTCTTCCTTCCACTCGGGCACTATTCACATCAGCATCAGTCTCAAGTCTCATTGCTAGTCTGTTGCTAGTTTTGACTTTACACATGGGGATCAGTGCAAAGTGGGATGAACTTATTTTTATGGAATGGGTATGACGTAAATTTTCTGCTTTCCCTATTAAATCCATCTTCTGTGTCTTGTGGGCAGTCCAGCCTATAATAATTTTTTCAGTCCTTGAATGGAGATAAGCCCATGCTCTGTGGGCAGGACAGTGTTACAGGTGGAGAGCCATTTAAATCTGGCGTGGTGGGTGACCAAATACCAGGAGTTGCAGATGGCATAGCTGGTAACCAAAAAGGAAGCCAGCCAGTCACTTCCTCTGTATGCCATTTCCAGCCAGTACAGCCAGGAAAAGACAACTTGAAGCAGATAAAAATCTCTGACTAAGACTTCTGATTAAGAAATTACTAGGTCCTTTTGAGACCCTTATGGGCTCTTTACTGTCATGAGTGAGATCATTGGTTGTCTGATCTCAACTCAGGTAGTCTGCTGAGCTAATCTAAAACAAACTAGGTGGAAAGACTCAGCATCGACCCTGCCCTTAGGTATGGTGTTCTTTGAACATCCAGCAAGCAGCATTCTCCACCCACAAACTCCACCCTAGGGGCCTTGGCCTATGGCACTTGTGCGTTTCTGCCACTTCCTCTGAAACCCTGGTTTTAACCATGAGGATCAGAGAGTCAGTTCACTTACAGGAAGGTGAAAAGAGGGCTCGAAATGGGCATTCAACAGTCTTACATAGAGCTAGTTGGTTATTTTGTTGATCTGTAGGAATTTGCTAAGTATCGCTTTGCCTATAACTGCAGAAGACTTGATTTCCCCTTCTAGATCTTTCCCTAAAAGGCTCACTAAATGAGGCCATTTCCTAAGATTCTCTAAGAATCTTCCTAGGATTCTCCCTTCTCCACTCCCTCTATATACTATTTCTGAGTGATGCCATCTGCACTTACGCTTTCAGCTACCACTAATAATGTCAAATACTTTCAAATATCTATCTCCCACCTGGATCTCTCTCTCTCCTGAGTTTCTTACTCACAATAGCCAAATACTATTGGCTTTGTAACCTGGATGGCTCTTAGGCATGTCAAACTCAACATGTCCCAAGCCAAATTATATTCTTCATCAACCCATCCTCTTCCCCTATTCAAAACCTCCTTCTCCTCCTTTGTTCCTTGACTTAAAAGTGTCACCATCTAGGATCACTTGCGAACTTGCTTTTGCATCACTGTCTTCTATTTCCCCACCAGGAATTGAATAGGCCCTGGAAGTAATGTAAGTTGTTTAGGATATTGTTCTTTCTTTCCTTATTCAAGAACAATTAAAGGTTAAACTGCAGTTCAGACTCTAAGTAAAATGGAAGCCCTGGAAAGGAAGCATCTGAGGGCTAAACCTTGGAGAAAACTTTATGGAAGAGGTGAGAGTTAACCAGGACCTTGGGTGGAGCAGGGGCCAGAAGACTGACCTCTCTGTGAGCATGCAGAGTGGAGAAGGGGTATGGCATATGATCCTCGGCTTGTTTCTTGTGCAAACAGAGTAATTGGCACCTCTCATGCTGACTCTTTCTGTAAATCACCAGGGAATTTGGTTCCTTTTAAGTTACAAGGATTGAGCATCTTAGCATAACCCGTCAGTTAGCTAGAGTCACCCTCTCCCTTAAAATTTTGTCTCAAAGTGTCATTCTACAACTTGGAGCAAGTCTGATTGCTTCCTTCAGATTTCTTCAAATTCCTGGGAGCTCATGTATTTATGGTCACTCTGATTTTGAGCTTTTCCTTCCACTAAATTGGTTCAGATCGTGGACAGTCTTACTGTCTCAAGCACATTGTCCCTGTTTCCATCCACACTGACCCAGATGTAGAACTCCCAGCTAAATCCTTTATGTGTGTAGCACTGCTGTCCCCAACCCCCAGGCTGCAGCCCGGTACTGGTCCACAGCCTGTTAGGAACTGGGCCATGCATCACCTCCTGAGCTCTGCCCTGGCTGCACGCCCCACCCCCACCAAGTCCGTGGAAAAATTATTTTCCATGAAACTGGTCCCTGGTGCCAAAAAGGTTTGGGATCGCTGGTGCAGCAGACTTATTAAAAAAGTTTGGCATAATGGAGAGAATTTTACATTGCAACAAAGTAAGCAAATTGAATTCTAATGCTG